TAAATAAGAGGTTAGGAGTGCAGTTAGATGAACCTGATTTTAAATTGGGCCAAAAATAACAACCATTCGAGTAAATAAAAATACTCCATAGCGGACATAGCCGGATTGCTTTGCCATTCAGATATTAGACAAAATAATGGTAAGGACCAACGACAACCAATGAAGATACTGTCTATAATTGTTCAGGTTATTAAAGGTGCTTCATTATGAAAGGTGTCTAGACAAACTAGAAAAATTCAAATAAGTTTATTGACTTACACATGAGCCCGCCTACAAAAGCTCTCTTAATTAGGGCTTTAAATCTGAAAGGGAACCAGTATCCGAAAAAAACAATCAATAATTAGGAGGCAAGTGCTCAAGGCCCATCAAAAGGCTAATAAATTAGTGTAATAAGGTTTACTTCCTAGTATATATTATTGTATATATTCCATAACAATGAGGTTTTTTTTACAAAACGCTATCAACAAATTAACGTTCTGCAAGAGCCGCAAAATTTCATTCGTGAAAAGATAATAATGGGACTCAAATTTAAGCAAAATAAACGGACAAGTGTAATTCTGTCCCAAATTTTCAAAAAGAAATTTGTGAAGCAAGGAATGAAAAATAGGTCCACACAGTGTATCCGCCAAGAAGCAGGTATAACAGCAATGATGATACTTTATTTAATAAAGATGCAAGTAAGGACACAGCGTCATAACAGACTTAGCGGAGCGAACAACAATACAAAGATGAACAGATCAGGACCAAATGCATAAATAGAATAGAATACTATCGGAAGAAATGTTGTGCAAACTGATAGGACATGCTGGATAATACCAAAATATAAAGGTAAATATTGCAAACATGAAAAAATAACGGCAGTTACCTCGAATATTTCTTCGGGAGTACCAGCTGCAGTAGCCGGTGGAGGAGCAGGAGCCGCAACTGCGGTAGAATTTTCTTGACTGTCAGTGCTGAGGCCCGCAAAGGCAGGAATGCATGATGGTAATACAGAAGCCCAAGGAGAATAAGGATGAGTAGGAGCATATGAATATTGTTGGTACATGGCAGTGTAATAAGCAGCATAACTGGCCGCATAACTATTCGAATACCCTGCATAGGCTACAACATAAGGGTTCGCTTGATAGCATAAAGCAGAGCTAGAAGAGGGTGGAGCTATTGTGGGATCTGCACCCGAAACGGTTGTCGTAGTGGCAGAATGAGATTGATCGACCATCGGGGGAACCAAAGAAACGGGAGGAGGACCAAACCCACCATAAAGACCGGTATCGCCCATAACGGCAGAAAGGATCTCGTAAGCCTGTGAGTAAGTAGGCGCAAGCTCAGTTACAGATGATTCTAAAGAAAGAAAAGAAAAGTTTAGGCAATACCAATTTAGTAAAATAGTAAGATAATCTACTACTATTACTAC